GCAGATTTACCTCCTTTCTACAGTGACCACCAATGTGAGGGTGCAATTTTCCACTGACATCCAATGTAAACAGGCTTTTCTACTCACCGCCAATGTGGGAGATGCTTATTCACTAACCACAATTGTAAGACGGCACTTAACTTTTGAAGGTTTAGGTCTTGTTTTGCCCAATATTTTGCTTTGTTTAATATTAAGATTAATATTGTGGTACAGAGCAGAGGCTGCTTTAACTACCTCCCACCCGGCCTATAGTGAAAAGATGGCCAGGCAGGAGCACCATTATTCTGTGTGTATGTCACATGGTGTCCTCTCATTCAGGAGCCTCATGTGCATCCTAGGGGCCAAGCAGTGACGCAATCTGTCACAATAAATCACATGTCAAATGCACACAATGGCTTTCATTCATAGCCATTCATTGTGTACTATTGTGAACTCTGATTGATCACGGTGATCACAAGGTACAGACAAGGCAAATCACATCCACCTGTACTATGTGATAGCTGTGACAAATCACAAATATCACAATTGTACACAATGGCACGTGAATAGATGATATTCATAAAAATGACTTATTTTACAATGATCATAAGTGTTATAAGAACCCATAGTGTAAAAAAAGGTTTACATACTGTCACCAGTTAATATCCTTGATCAGTGCCATACCAGTCATATGAAAAAAAATAAATAAATTTCTTAATTTTCCCAAAAATCATAACAAAAAAATACATCTTCAAAAACTCACCTAACTGCTCACTTAAGACCTTGGATTGTCTATTTTCCAAACAGGGGTCATTCGGGGGAATTTATACTATCCTGGCATTTTACTGCCTCAGGAAATGAGTCCGCACATCAGGACTTTTTTTGACAATTTTCAAATATATATACCATAGTTTGCAGACTCTACAACTTTCACACAGACTAAATAATATACACTGTATATGTACATATTGTAAATGTTAAAACAGAAACAAAGAATTGTTTTTCAAAATATTCAGCATTTTTTCATTTATATAGCAAAAAAATAATGGTGATTAAATACCACCAAAAAAGCATGCCATTCAAAATGTGACAGCACTAGCAGCTCACAATTGGCTTGGGCAGGAAGAGGTGAACGTGTCTAGTATTGAAGCAGTTAAAGTGTCTTCACTCTGGGTGCCAAATACTCTAGCTATGACACATTCCTTATTCTTTTGCTTAAAACTTTACAGTGCTTACTGATCGTGCTAATGTGTCATCAGCTGTAGATAAAAATAATATTTAGCAGGGGATCCCTAAGACCTGAAAATTATTTTAAGGATTCCTCCAAGGTAAAATGGTTGAGAAAGGCTATTCTTGTATAAAGAAATCCAGCTTTTTTTTGTCTTAAACAAATTATGTTAGTTACCTGCACACAAAAATTATCCTTATATTAGATAAGTATATTACACTTTACCCAGTTTGATTTATTTAGACAGGAAAGCATTGTGCAGTACAAACATAGAAATATGTAGTCAGTGAAATATTGACAAATTAGCCAACTAAGCTCCAGGGTGTGAGTGAATGAACAGATTAAATGAGGCATGAGGTATACTTAAATAAGAACAAATGACCCTGCACACACACGTGCTAAATTAGGATTTCCACGTAGCACAAATGTGTACTCATATCCCTCCTGTAGCAACCTGCAGCACACTTCAGTAGAAAAGATGAATATGTTTAGGCAGTGTGTTACTACATAAAACAGGTTTACTGATTTTTTACTTTTCACATGGTGGATATAGGTCTATTGTAGATATTTTTTTTCTTTGAATCGAGAGGGGGTAACTTTTGCTCAGCATCAATAAAAAATGTAACCTTTTGAAGCATATGTGGCAGCTTGGCTTGTGAGTCTTAACGCCCACATATATGTGGCCCTATTAATACTACTTACTCCCTTTCTTAAGCTACCAACACGATAGCAGGTGGTGATCAGTAAGCTCCCAATCTATACTTGCGAATGGGATCTTTCCAATCATTTGACCCATTGTGACAGCAAATCACAGTGGTCACATGGCCCGAAGATCCACCTCCCCACTTTTAGAACCCTTAAAGGGCCAGAAGGTGGTTGATGCCAAGGGGTTAAACTATGGTCAGGTAAACTTTAAATAATGCACATATGCTCCATTTCACATTTTTCGGGCTATCTATATATTCCTTCCTGAAAGAAAAAAAAGATTGTTTATAAAGCTCAATAAAAAAGTACTGGTTATGAAGCTCAATCACTTAAGCTTAGGGACAAAAACTTCCAATCTGAATAAATAAAAGGGGATGCCAAGTGGTACCACAGCCTGATCCTTCTGTTTATAAAGCTCAATAAAAAGTACTGGTTACAAAGTTCAATAACTGAAGCTATCTATATATTCCTTCCTGAAAGAAAAAAAAGATTGTTTATAAAGCTCAATAAAAAAGTACTGGTTATGAAGCTTGGGGGTAAAAACTTCCAATCTGAATAAACATAAGGGGAAGCCAAGTGGTACCACAGCCTGATCCTCTATAATCTTAATCCTCATCAGTGGGATACACATTGCCATGCATTGTAGACTCAATATTAAAACCTGAAGCAACAACACCTGTCAAGGCCCTCAACTGCCACTGCCATAACACCAGTCCTTCCAAAAGGCTCGTCTGTAGTCTAAAGACCCTCCTCTCACGCTGTCAGATCAAACTTGTAGGGTTCCACAAACATTCCTATTTATTATCTCACTTCACATTTCTCATGAAGCTACAGCTTTACTTTCACCTTTCATGAACCTTTTCTTTCCGATATAGTGGTAGACCACAATTTTAATAGCTAACATTTTTTACTTTAGCCACCATCTGTGTAGCACTAGCAGCCCATCTTTAACTGTAGGTCCCTCCCCTAAACAATATTCCTATCTGTCATACTGGCAAACCACAACCCTGGTGTTCCTGCCTTACCATTCTTTTTTTCCTATCCCTTCATCACTGCCCTGTCAAGTTTCCTGTATGGCACTATCATCGTCATTCTCATGACCTCTCTCCTTACCTCTAGAAATAAGTTTAGGGTTCAGATCAACCATGAATACGACCTGAGCTCAAGTAATTTGTGGTCTGAGAAAATGGTAAAGCAATGTAGCCATTTATACCCTTAACGATCAATTGTCAATACTGTACTTCCTGACAACTAAAATGTGTTTAGGTGTCTTAGATGTCTTTGAAGAGACAATCATGAGGGTTTTCCTATTGTTTAGTGTATATTGGAGGAGACATGGGGTTCACTCAGAATCTCATGTACCTGTGCATGGTAGCCAATCAGCTTCTATCCTCAACTTGTTCAATTAAGCTTTAACAATAAAACCTGGAAGCTGATTGGTTTCTATACAGAAGTACACAAGATTCTGAATGAACCAGCTTTAGTAAATACACCCCATTGTGTAGTCAAAGACAGATCACAGTCTGCAGAGAAATATTGGTGCTAAGAACATCTGGTCAATTTTTTCATGGAGTCACAGATACACTAACAGTGTTTTGTACAGTAGTATAGCAGATTGGGGAGAGATCTGAGTGTTTCCAGGGACAGTTACAGTAAATGCTGATGGTCATTGCTAAAAACATCCACAATTACATTAAGTCACAAACACACTAATAGCAAGTTTTACAGTGCTATAGCACAGTGGTCCCAATCCTCAGCCTCAAATACCCCCAACAGGCCATGTTTTGGGAATTTCTCACAGATAAAAAAGCCGACATAACATCCAAGCCATTGACATTCATTTAAAGCACTTGTGCAAGATTAAAGTGGAGTTCCACCCAAAAGGGGAAGTTGCACTTGAAAGACTGGTCCCCCACTCCCCATTAAGGATTGGCACCTTTGTGGAGCGGATACCCGAAACTGACAGGTACCCGCTCCCACTTCCGTTGTGATCCTCTAGGAGATTGGAAGCATAAGTTTAGTCCTCCTACCCTCCTTCCCTGTAATCTTCTGGGACACGTGACAGGTCCCAGAAGACTACGGGGCCATTCAGGAAGCGCAGCTCTACTCACGCATGTGCAGCGGGCACCCGGCTGTGAAGCCGCAAGCTGTCACAGCTGGGTGCCCACACTGAAAATGCCGGCGCCTGGAACACAGGACAGCCAGTGAAACGAGCTGCGGGGAGGACACCGTGGGATCGTGGGACAGGTGGCTTTAAGGAAATCCTTAGAACATGACATGTTGGAGGTACTTAAGGACTATGGTTGGGAACCACTGCTGTAATATTTTAGATTGTTTCCAGGGAGAGTTAGCTGCTGGTGCTGATTGCTGAAGACAGTATCTATATTTACAAAAGTTGCAGGCACACTAACATTGTGTTGTGTAGTGGTCTAGCAGTTTAGGGATTGATTTTAGAGTGTTTCCAGAGTTAGAGGCTGGTGGTCATTGCTGAAAACGTCCCTATTTAAACTGAGTCACAGACACATTAGTGTTTTTCTCACTCCTATTGCTGATAGTGTAGACATCACAGTCCTTTTTTTCTAGGGAGATTTACTTTTTTAGTGTGTGTCAGTAACAGCTTCAGTTGCTCTTTGGCTGCTGTATCCCCCTTGTTTTATTTTCTGTGGGTGCTTTTTATTTCACATTTTCATTTTATATCTTTTGGCTAAGTTAAAAAAGAGGGAGGGGTTTGGTATTTAGGAAAAAAAGTTTAAATACTGTGTACATACACATTAGAATATGTTGGTGGTACAATTACAGTGAAATAAATTGACTACTGTATATTTCAGATTTTTCATTTAAACAGCTCGCTCTTGTGGGTCCCGTTGACAAAGAAGCCTGGTCAGAGTGTTTAAAGCCCATGCACCTACTCAACACCAACAACATCAGCCAAGAGCTCTCACCTGTTCCTATGGAATCACTCCCTCAGTGAATGAAACTGCAGAATCTTTCTCACCAGCAGGACCAGCGGCGGACTGACCATTTGGAAACTCCGGCACTGCCCGAGGGCCCGGGGTCAGTAGGGGGCCCCATGAGATGCCCCTGGTACCTTTTTCATAGTCTTTTTTGAGTTTGAGCAAGGACACAGGGGCCCCATGATCCCCTATTGCCCGGGGGCCCCATGAGTTGTCAGTCCGCCCCTGAGCAAGACCAATGATGGAGTGAGACCTCATTGGGTCGGCCAATGGGTGTTTTCCTTGTTCTTTTAGCAATCATGTCACTAGTGATATACCAACAGCAACCTGATCGCTAGTTCAAAACTGCCCTTAGTCATAATGAGTACAGTGAAACACAGCCAGGTTTTCCATTTATTATGATAACCAAATTTCTTTTTATTCAGTCTGGGAACTAAGGTCGCTTATAACTCTTCAGTCTGTGGGTGGTTACACTCAACCACAAAGGACATATGGAAACATATGGAAGTATTCAAGAATGTTATAATCAAAGTATACTTTATAGGATAACCAGAAAAGCTAAACCAGACCAGTTATTAAACTGTGTGAGCGTTAGTTTATGCAGATGATTCAGAATATTATTACAATAAGAGTGTAGGCAAACAGCTAAGTACACAGTTGAACTACATGTCTGTAAAATGTGCTGCACAAAGAATAAAGACATTTCTACTGCCTGTAGTCTGTATCAGTCATGGTCACAGCAGTTTTATATCCTTAGAAAAGGGGCAGTGCCGCAAATACAGAACAGTTGGGAGTTATACTCATTCATACCAGTGAAGGCTGCATGGCATTTCACATGGTATATCTTATCTTCTGATAGTGCCAACAGTGGACTGTGCCAGAGTAATGTGTGTGTTTGTAACAGCCACAACAAAGAAGAAAAATAGGGAGACAAGGAATAAGCTTTGTCCCCTATAGCAAACAGCACCTGAACAAGGATCTTCATGGCAGGATCACCAGGTAATATTTTAAAATTGGTTTTGAAATTACATGAACAAGTTAAATCTTTTATAAGATTTTAGCGATTGGATTTACTGTACATACAGTGTATGATAAAGTGGAAAGGAAGGTTTGCTGATCTTTTCCATAACGTGCAAATATGCACAGCATACTTGCACATTATAGCAGGCTTACCTCTTTGACTGCCCTCTTCCACCGCCAACAGTTGAGAGCTGTTCCTTGCCACTCTGTCCCCTGCCATCATGTTGCTCCTCTTTGATCATTGATGGTATAGCACCTGTGCATGCTCGCCAAACTCGCATCATCCCAGCACCCAACTCCTTTCTTAGCATCATACAAGTTTTGGGAGTATACACTGCACTGTGCATGTGCTGCAGAAGGTATACATTATAAAAAGAATTTCTAGATGCAAGAGAAAGTTATTTTAGAAGACACATGCTGCAGTAAAACTCTGTGAAAAAAAATATTTTTTAATAAACTTCTGTTTTATACCAGAACTCCAATTTTTACATGGCATCCCAACCATTCAGGAACAGTCTTGTATTTTTTCAGTGAATAGAAGGCATTCTCAGATTGGAAAAGGTGGAGAGGTGGGTGGATGATGTCCTTGTATTCAATGATAAATATACAAGACTTCTCCTGAATGGTTGAAGTGCCATGTAACTGACTCAGAAAGACATTGACACATAGTGTATTACAGCATCCCCAGAAACCAGATCTCTTTACAAAGGTAAGCATTTATTTTAACCGCCTTGCCCAACATTCCTTTAAAAGTTCTGAATGCTGGGAGGGCAGGAAAGATCAGCCTATCATGAGTCTATTGTTACTGGCTGTAACAGTAGTCACAAGATCAGAAGCCGGTCCTGTTAGCTACCAATCATCAGCGTGGACCAAGAGCTGCCTTTCACACCTTGGTCTCTGTATTGGGAGTAATCTCTCAGAACAGAAACATTGGCTGCTCAGCGACATATACATATAGCGTGTGGACGTTAAAGCCCACCCTTTTGTTGTTGCACATGTGTGTTGCTCAAGCGGCAAGAAGTTAACCAAGCTGATCCTCCTCCTCCTCCTCCACTTTTCAAGGGCTCAGATGGAGTTTATTAAAAGTCAAAATTCTACTTACAAATAGGGATGTCTTTGGTGTTTGAGTTGAAATATGTTTGCCATCCCCCACAATGCACTGCTCTCTGACAGTGCATTGTGATTGGCCAAAGCAATGCACCTGACCACAGGTCAGGTGCAATGCTTTGGCTAATCACAGCACAATGCACTGTGAGAGCCACGATTGGCCAAAGTCTCGGTGACTTTGGCCAATCATAGCTCATGGGCTAAGTCCACACCCCACACTATATAAGGCTGCTTACACAGCAGCCCTGTGTAATGTGTTGGTGTTAGTAGTGAGGTTAGTTAGTGGTGTGTTAGGAGACAATGTAGTGTAGTCAGTGACAGTATAGTGTGGGGTTGAGAAGAGCAGTGTAGTGGTGTCATTGAAGTGTCAGTGTTTGTACAGCACGTCTGCATCACCACTGTTCCCATTTATTTAATTTTTTTCTTTGTCAAAATTTTTTTTTTGTTTTCTGTTGCTGCATCTTTACTGTTCCCCCCTTCTGTGTCAGCAGTGGTTTCCTTTTTCTTTTTTTTTCTTTTTTGATTTTTTTTCTTTTTAATCAATGCTCAGATGTTGGTTCCCAGGTTGAGGAAGGGAGTGACATGAGCCTAGAGAGAGGCAGTGCCAATGATGGACAAGAAATTGGCAATCATGTTCCCCCAGCCACAGCATACTGCCAAGTTGGCTCCAGTGATGAGGAGAGAGGGGGTGATGAGGTCAATGAGTTTACTTGGGTACCTGAGAGAACAGAGGAGGAAAGTTAGGAGGAGGAGGAGGCACAACTCCAACAAGGCTGGATGTCCTCCAGGGGCCGGTGTAAGGGTAGCAACCCTATTGCATCACATGACAGAGCTCCACAGGTTCAGGGTGCTGCTGACTCCCCACTGACTCCCAAAAGTTCATTGGTGTGAGCTTTTTTCAACACATGTGTAGCAGACTGCAGCGTTGCTTTTTGCAGTGTTTGTGTGAAGCAGATCAAGAGGGCGGCACAGTAGCAAAATGGTTAGCACTTCTGCCTGGCAATACTAGGGTCACTGGTTCGAATCCCAACCACAGCACCACCTGCCTGGAGTTTGCATGTTCTCCCTGTGCCTGCATGGGTTTCCTCTGGGTACTCTGGTTTCCTCCCACACTCCAAAGACATGCTGATAGGTTAATTGGATCCTGTCTAAATTGGCCCATGTATGTATGCATGTAAGTTAGGGAACTTAGATTGTACACCCCTTGAGGGTTAGGGACTGATGTGAATGTACAATATATATGTAAAGCACTGTGTAAATTGACAGTATTATATAAGTACCTGAAATAAATAAATAAGAGTGGCCAAAACACCAGCTGCTTAGGCAAGACATATAATGACCTGCCATGCAGCCCAGCCGATTGGCAATAGCACCTGAAAAAACCACATCATAAAAAAGTGCAGACTTATCCTTGTTCCTCATCTGGGATCTCTACTTCTCTACTATACCTCAAGTCATCTCAGCATCCTCCACTGAGAGGGATGATGATATAGCAATAGGTGTCACAGGTCCTTGCACTCAATCTGCTAGCAGTATACCACCTCCTCATTTCACCAGGAAAATTTCACTATCCCAGTTGTTGAACCGTAAAAAAAAATACCACTGTCCCACCCATCCACATGCTCAGTATCTGAATGCTAGCTTGGCCAAATTGCTAGCATTACAATTGCTGCCTTTCCATGTGGTGGATTCTGCCCCTTCCATGAATTTTCAAAATGTGCTGTACCATAGTGGCAGGTTCTGAAAAGAAATATCTTTTCATGTAAGGCCATTCCAACTCTGTACCATCATGTGGAAAGCAATGTTTTGGTCTTGTTGGACAAGGCAGTACGCAGCAAGGTTCACATTACTGCTGACACGTGGTCCAGCAGGCATGGTCAGGGACATTACATTTCCTTCACAGCGCACTAGGTAACTGGAGTGCTGGAGCTTGTTCGGCCACCATGCCTCCAAAAAGCTGGTGGTGATTCTGCCACATCGGTCTGCTTCACCCCTCCTGGTCCTCTTCGTCTATGGCCTCTTCTGCTGAATTGTCCTTTGAACCAGCAGTGCTCCCTAAGCTTTCAACGGGCTACAAAAGCAGTTAGGCTAAAAGATGTCATGCGGTGCTTCAGCTGGTCTGTCTAGAGGACAGGAGCCACACTGGGCCAGAGATTCTCTCAGCTCTGTAGGGGCAGACTCAGAGATGGTTGACGCCATGGCAGCTTGAGCCAAGAATGGTTGTATGTGACAATGGCACTAACCTTCTCTCCGCCCTCTGACAGAGACACTTGACACATGTTCCATGCTTGGCACACGTCCTGAATTTGGTGGTGCAGTGTTTCTTAAACAGGTACCCAGGCTTACAAGATCTTCAGACACAGGCCAAAAAAGTCTGTGGCCATTTCCAGCAGTCATACAAGGCCAGTGTTCGACTGGCTGACATTCAACAGGAATTCAGCCTGCCCACCAACCTCCTCATTTGTGACATGCCCACCAGGTGGAACTCAACGTTGGCAATGCTGCAGTGGCTGCACACACAGCAAAGGGCCATCAATGAGTACCTGTGTGAGTATGGCACAAGGGCAGACTCAGGGGAGCATGGCTTCTTTTAGCCACACCAGTAGGCAAAAAGTTTTAGCTGCTTTGGTGTTAATAAAATTAACAACAGGTGCACTAGATGGGCAACAATGAGATTGCCCCCCAAAACAGGAATGGTTTTACAGATGGAGGAAACTGACATTTTTTTCCTTACTCATCTTTTCTGACTATTTTTTTACTAGTTTTGCCTTTGGCTAGGGTCAGTGTCACTACTGGTAGCATGAGGCAATATGTGGACCCTACAGAGGTTGCACAGGCAGTACAACTCCTCCAAGATGGCACATCAATACGTGCCATTAGCGGAAGGTTTGTTGTGTCTCCCAGCACAGTCTAAAGAGAATGGAGGAGATTCCAGGAGACAGGCAGTTATTCTTGGAGAACTGAACAGGGCCATAGAAGGTCCTTAACCTATCAGTAGGAAAGGTATCTACTCATTTGTGCAAGGAGAAAAAGGATGAGCACTGCCAGAGCCCTACAAAATGACCTCCAGCAGGCCACTGG